AAAAAAAAAAAAAACACTAAGCTCTAACAAAAAGGAGGAATCTTCTGCTCATTTAAAAGAATGTACGACGCAAAGCGAGCTAATATCCTTTCCTCTTCTAGTTACTTCTTTCCTGATTTGGAAAGATGGGTGGCGACCAACTGCTACCTCTATCGGGTCACGCCCCATTTTTGGCAAAATGTACATCATACACAACACATACACGGCTAAACTATACATGCGCTCCTATTGCTGTCTCTCTTCTTTTTCCCTTTTGCCTGTGTCTACCATAGCCCTTGTAAAGCAGCTGCTGGATATGAGGAATTCTGTCCGTGTGATTCGGCAGTCCTTCCCACATAGTTGCAGGACGACATGTTGGTTCCACATAGACTCGACATGGTTCCAACAGGTGCCACGTGTTCAGCAATCCTGTGCTGGAGGTCCCACGTAGGTATCCCATGGTTCCCAGGGACAATGAGGTGGTCTATCCTCATACACTCCACGTGGTCAACGCATAGTAGTTTGTTCCATCGTGGTGGTCCCACATAAGTTCACGTGATCGTGGTGGTCCCACATAAGTTCACGTGATCGTGGTGGTCCCACGGGGTTCCTGATAGGTTCCACATTGCACCAGATAGGCTGCACATGGTTTCACATAACTTCCACGTAGTTCGTGAGAGCTTCCATGCAGTCCCAACCAGGTTCCCCGTGCTTTCACATAGTAGTCGTATACAAGAGGTGGCGGAACTTGAGCAAGAGAGAGAGAGAGAGAGAGAGAGAGAGAGAGAGAGAGAGAGAGAGAGAGAGAGAGAGAGAGAGAGAGAGAGAGAGAGAGAGGCGAAGGTCAGAGAGGAAGACCGTTTTGTCGAAGGGTATCCTTGAGCTCTCGAAGCTCGGCTATGGCCTCGCTGCCACTCAAATGGAGCAAGCCCATGCGTGAGTGGAACTCTACCACCTCTTTGACGTTAGCAATCAGTTTCCCGAGGTCGTGATGCATTAATCGAAGGAGAGCTGAGCTGGCCATCCTCCTTACCCAGTCGGATTCATCCCGATGGATGAGTCCAGTTATTCCGAACGCCATGATGGTGATTGCAGAGAGGGAGGAAGATGAAGGTAAAGCCGGACAGAGCTCAGGGGGTCGTCGACTGTCGATTGCTTCGTCTTGACGTTGGCGCTGGCCATCGTCTGCATCCATTAACTTGATTGGTCGGCCGTTGATGATATCGTCTTCGAAGAGATCGTCGATTTCTCTCACGAAGCGCCGGAACCAATTGGATAACAGATAAGCGAGGAGCCTCGCGGAAGAGGACAAAACGTATCGAACAGACGGGGTCGGGATGCTGGGACAGGGGTGGGGAAGAGGAGGGCGGCCTCTTTCATCTCGATGTAGAGAAGACGAAGAAGACGAAGAAGATGATGACCGCCATAGCCGCTTTCTCACCAAAGGAAGCATAAATTGGCACCATTTACCCGACTCTTGAAGTAAGTCTGGAAATACCCGAGCATTCAACAGAGGTCCATGCCACGAATCCACCTGCAGCCGCACGAGATCAAGCACAATCTTCGTCTTCGTCTTCTTCTTCGTCTTCGTCTTCGTCTTCTTCTTCTTCTTCTTCTTCTGCTTCTGCTTCTTCTTCTGGTGCAGCTGCGGTTGCTGCCGCTTCTCCTCTCTCCTCCATCTTCTGCTCCCCGTCGTCCTCCTCCCTTTCCCTGCCGTTGCTATCTCGATCACGTTGTCCATGACAACATAGTCTTCTTCTTCTCCTTCTTCCTCCTCGTCGTCGTCGTCCTCATCATCTTCTTCATCTTCATCTTCGTCGTAGTCGTCGTCCAACAGTGCCTCCATGGCCGCCATAGCCGCCCCTCTCTCTCTCTCTCTCTCCTCCTGCCACGTCACCGCTTGTTCTTTCCCCAGCGAGTTGAAATCCATAGCCGCTGACGATCGTCGTCGACCGCTTCGCCCGCCGCCCATCGACCCCGCGCTCCTCTCGTTACCATCAACCACCACCACCATTTCTTCGCCGTTCTTGTTGTCGCTATCCCCCTCCTCCTCCTCCTCCTCCCCCTCCTCCTCCTCGTCTTCTCCTTCTTTCACGAGATTACTGCTACCTCCCCTTCCCTGTCTTCTGTCAGATTTGATGCTATTTTTAGCAGATCCGAATCGAACGAGGAAGGCAAGGAACATATCGCAGAGAAGCAGAACGGCTAAGAAGAGTTCCGTTGGGGACGAATGGAACCTGACCTTCAACAGAGGTAACAGTTGCTTTATCTCGGAAAGATTAACACAATCCATGATTCCATCCGATCCCGATCCCGATCCCGATCCCGATGCCGATCCAGATCCCGATCCCGATACAAGATACGATTCCAAGATGAAGGCGACGATCTCCTTACAATCTTTGGAGCAAGATTCGGATCTGGCGAGCTGGACGAGAGAATCGAGAGCGACAGCGGATTGACGGAAACAGTCCCGCGGAGATTCGATCCATCGCCGGCGCCATACCCATTGCGAAGAAGACGACGAAGAAGGCAAGGAGTCGTCAGCTCGACAAGATCCACCATGGCCGCCATAGCCATAAGAGCTGCTGCTGCCAAGTTCAATCCGCCTCCTTCTCCACCTCCTCCTCCTTCCAGTCATCCTGCTCCTGTGGATCGATGACAACCCATCCCCCCTGGTCGACGGATCAGCTTCCCTCCCCTTCCCTTCTACCACCTCCTCCTCGTCCTCGTCCTCGTCCTCCTCCTCCTCCTCCTCCTCTCCCTCCGAGCGCCGGAAGCTCTTTTCTTCTCCCAGTAGTCCCTGATCATCGCCAACGACGGTTCGACCCCCGCCCACACGCCCAGCATCTGGATCAGAATGCGCAATGAAAGCAAGCAGATAGAGCGCATACACACGTGTACTATGTGCGTAACCAGAGCGCGCCAAGCGCACCACCAAGTCGACACGACCTATCCCTTCCTCCCCGGAGAATAAACACTCTGCAACCTCATGGCTGACCGTAAGATGGAGGAGCGTTCCAATTGCACACATCTCCAACCGCGCAGATTCTCTCCTCGATAGCACATCGAGTAACACCAATCCAATCCTTGCGAGTCTCGAAACAGTGACCTCAAGATAAGGGTCCATGCGATCAACAGACTCGGCAGCAGGAGCAGAATTACTACCACCACCAGCAGCAGCAGCAGGAGGAGGAGGAGGAGGAGGGCGAGTAGACGAGAATGCTGCTGCTGAGGCAGGCTGACCACCATGGCCAGCTGTCCAGTGACTGTCGAATCCCGCCATGAGCGCACCTCCTCCTCCCCACCCTCCTCCTCCTCCTCCTCCTAGTGTTGTTGAACACGGTGCTGCTGCTGCTACATCTCCGTTGCCAGCGTGCTTGGTAGGCGGCCTGGTCGTCGGCCGCCTTTTCGCCGCGGTCATCGGCGGGTGCGACTGGACGTTGGTGGTCGTTGGCTGTGGAGCATGCGACCTGTTGTCGATTGGGATGGCGGCGAGAACATCGCGATCGGGATGGCTGGACGCGATCGCCATCGCTGGTCGTTGGTGGTGTCCATGATAGGGACAACTTCCGTAAGAAGGAGGATGGCGACCGCGGTGCGAGCGCCGGCGACCGGTCGGCGCCGATCGACAGAGATTCCAGAGGACGGATGCAGCGAGCTCTCGACACGTCAGCGATGGATGCCGCGTCAGCACGTCGATGATCCTCTCTAATCCACCGTAATCCGAATCAACGATGGCGCGACACGTGTTCTCATCAGGGGTGTCGGCAGCGAGGCGGGCCAGGCCGTCCAGAGCGGCCTCCTGAGAGCAGACCGGACCTGGTGCTCCCACGTACCACCCATCCTCATAGTCCTCCATACCCCGCCGGCTGCTGTAATCTTCCCGACACTGCGCGCCGCCACGTGGCCAGTGCCATCGAGAGCTGGCATCGCATCCGCCACCGTCGACTGCCATGTGGCAATCATGCAGATCCATCATCCTGGCGGCAGCCTTCAGCTGATCGAGATCAAGAACCCAGTGAGCTGGCAGCCCACAGGGCGGCGCATCTACAATCCCATCAGATGGATAAGAAGAAGAGGAGGAGGAGAAGGAGGAGGAGAGGATAAGTCCACGAGCACTTCTTCTCCTCCTCGGCGAGAAGAACGCTGAGGGCCCTCCCCATGGAAGCAGGGAGGGATGCCGCTGGCAGTGAATGTACCAGACAGCACTCTTTTGGAACGATTCTATCAAGCTCCCATCCAGATCCCGATACACCACAGCTGCGGAGATAGCAACACGAGCAGGAGCAGCAGTAGCAGCAGGAGGAGCAGCAGCAACAGGAGGAGGAGGAGGAGGAGGAGGAGGAGGAGGAGGAGGAGGGAGGGTGTGCGAGGAGGAGGGGTCGTTTCTCGTCTGTCTTCCCCGCGCCGCTGCTGCTGCTGCTGCTGTCTGCGGTTCCCCGACGAGAGCGCTATTGATTGCTCCCGATCCCGAACCCGACCCAGAGACGGGAGGAGCGTCTACCACCTCGGATTGCTGATCGGCAATCCGACGAACAGGAGGCTGCTGATCTGCACCGAGATCGGGATCGGGATCGGGATCGGTGGTCCGAGGAGAATGCCGCGGAGGTGGAGGATACTGCCCCCCCCGAGCTGCTACCACGTGTCCGGATTCCATGCCGTCGACGTTTGACCTCTCGTCAACGGAAATCCTTCCGACATCAATCCACCCTTTGTTACTCTCCATACTCGTCGATTCATACCGACTAGAGTGAAAAGGAGCAGCAGCAGCAGCAGCAGCAGGAGGAGGGGGAGGAGGAGGAGGAGGGGAGGAGGATCTATGGACCATCTCGGGCGGCGCTTCAGAATCTGGTAGACTAAGTACACCCGTCGGGATCCCTTGCGGCTCGTCGAGCTGTATGTTGGAATAGCTCCCAGACTTCCACTTCCTTGCAAATGACGGGCGAGCGGATGAGGAGGAAGGAGAAGGAGGATGAGGAGAAGTAGCTGAGTGAGGAGATTGCGGAGAGACAGAAGCACCTGAGTGAGGAGAGCGTGGAGACGGAGGACGAGGAGATGGTGGGCGCAGAGCACGCGGAGAGGGAGGGCGAGGAGGAGGAGGTGAAGAACGAGGAATAGGAGAACGGGGAGAAAGAGGAGGAGGAGACGAAGGAGGGGGAGGAGCAGCAGTGGTAGGGGAGCGAGAACTTGAAGGGGGAGGTTTTAAGAGAGGAGGAGGACGACGACGAGGAGATGGAGATGGAGATGGAGATGGACAAGCATGGGAAGAAGGAGACATTGATCGGTCTCTCCCAGGAGGGGCAGCAACCGCCATACCTGGAAAGGCAGCAGCCGCCGTACCTGGAACTTCCGCTGTAACCCCCCCTCCTCCTCTTCCTGCTGCTCCAGTCCCCGACGAGATCCCCTTGATGAGCGACGACGACGACGACAACAACGACAGTTGATGCCGATGCTGATCACTTCCATCTGCTACAGGTCCAGCTAGGGCTACCGCCGCTGCTGTTGCTCCTTGATCCTCTGCTGGTCGCGTCCTCCACAGCCGCTCGAGAGTGTAAACGATCTCCGCCCTTCTCCATTCGTCGTTGGGATCGATGGTCGTGTACTCGTCGAAGATGGAATCAATCATGGCCTGTCGCCGCTCTGGTTCCATCATCATGATAATCGCGTCTTCCTGCGCCGTAGGCTCGTCGTCTTCAAGGTCGGCGATGGCGGCCATCGTGAGCGTCTCGGAGCCTCCGTCAAGCTGACCGGCGATGGCGCGATTGGTGAAGGAGAAAGAGATGGAGGAGGAAGCATAGCCCGAACTCGACCGCCATGACACGGAACGAGACGACGCTCCCAGAGAGATTGACCTCCTGAACGAGGAGCCGCCGAGGCTCGGGTTGACACTAGTAATACCTCCACCGTTCGTCGACGTCATCGACGACGACTCAAGCATAGGACCATGCCACGTGGCGGTCGTAGAAGAACCTCGTCCTTTTCTGCTAATTACCGAGGAGGAGCTAATCAACGAAGTCGAAGCCGGAAGCGACGAAGAGGAGGACGACGACGCTGAGTATGCAAGGCTGGCACCCGGGAGCGCTCCATGTGGCATGATCATACCGAACGCTCCTGGATGAGGAGGAGGAGGAGGAGGAGGTTGGGAGGAGAGCAAGCTGCTGCTGCTGCTGCTGCTGCTGCTGCTGTGGCCACCTTTTCCGCCCAAGCTAGTATCGAACCTGCTGCCATCGCCGCCGGCGGCGGAGCTATTACCGAACCTGCTGCCATCGCCACTGACGTTATATACAGCGGCATGGGCTGGAGGAGGAGGAGGAGGAGGAGGAGGAGGAGGAGGAGGAGGAGAGACAGGTGGCATAAGACTAGGAACGAGCTGCTGGCGGGGGGAATTAAGTTCTCTGGAGGCCCGTCGCGTAGCACTCCGCAGTAACGAGGCCTTCAGACGCTCATCGCCATCAAGATCTCCTCCTCCGTCTTCATGCCCCGCCTCGTCACCGGGGCATGGAACGGGACCCCGATGGCTGTCCAGGACCTCGGGATCCTCGATGCCAAACACAGAGGCTGAACCTGGCAGCAATTTCCTGCGCCGGTGCATTCCAACCGCCGATGCCATCGCGGCTTTGTCCACTTTCTCCGGTTTTCTATCCCATACCGAGACGATCCCGACATTCGGACTTTGCGGGAAATGTTCCTCCCGCCGCGGCTGTGGTAATCTAGATAAGATGAGACTGGACAAGGAGGAGCCGCTCGACATGGAACCAGGTCCCGACCTTCTTCTTCTCCTGACTGCCGCTGCTGCCACCGCGGTTTTCCCACCACCTCCATCTCCCCCTCCTCCTCCTCCTCCTCCTCCTCCTCCTCCTCTTTGGCTTGCTGCCAATGTCGCCGACGAAGCGCACCAGGTGTCATCATCCGCAGATCGACGGGCGCGTCTTCTCCACTCCGTCACGTGTCTGAGTACCGACGGCTTTGCGAACGGGATCCCGTCGAAGATCAACGTCAGCACGATAGCTATGGAGACGATGAGCCTGAGGAAGACGAAGGCGCACAGGAGAAGGATAAGCTCTTTCATGTTCTTGACGGCGTCTGCTCCGTAGAGGTCCTCGATCCCTTGCACGTCGACGGCCAGGATGAACCAGAGAAGCCACGTGGACATGCTTGCCAGCAAGCCCATCCCGACAGGTCGGAGGAAGATGAGCCCTTGAATGTAGAGGTCGTACCTCGTCTCCCAGGGCTCTAACTGAACGATTAGATCCCGACATGGCGTGTCGGCCACCAAGCCCGAGGCCATCGACGACCTCATCGCCATGACCAGGCTCTCCGCGAGCGCGATCCCGACGCACAGCCACATCACGACACGTGGCATCATGTACGCGAAGAAGAGAAGAATCGCGGGGACCACCACCAAGACGTATCCGAGGGATGCCTCCACCCTCTCCAAGACCGTCAGCCGCTCCACGGCGAGCTTAACGGAGTCCGGAGGAGGGAGCATGCCCTTTCTCTCAGTCTGCCATTCTTCGCGGAACTTTCGACGAAACATCTCTGAATCATCCTCGCCCAGTGCCCGTAACGACAGATAGCGATGGCTTAACGTTTTCACCCAGTCGTCGTGGCACCCGACAACCGGATAATTCGATGCTGACGTGGACGGGCCACGTGGATCCCGATCCCGACTCAAGCTGTGGAGACTCCAGTTGCGGGAATTCTGGCCCCCTCCTCCCAGATTCATCTTGTTTTCCTCTTTTTTTTCTTTTTTTTTTTTTCCCCCCTCTTTCCTTGCTTCTCCTCCACTGACTGATTCGAGTATACCTGAAAAAAAAAAAACTACGCAGCTTTTTTTCAATCCCAAGAAAAAAATAAAAACCCTACGCAGTTTTTTCAATCAAAAAAATAACAAAAAAATATTACTCCTCAGCAGTTTAAGTCAAACAGTTCCACATTTACAGTATTATGGGATTTTTTTAGGGTACAGCTTATACAGATTTATCAAACATGTATACACTTCCGGAACTACTAATTTTTTTTAATTTTTTTTTTCCTTTTGCAGCTTGTCTACTTTTTGCATCCCCCAACTAATAACTGTTCAATTCGATCCGCATCCCATTCTTATTAAGACAAAAAAGATAGCAAAGAACCTCCAGTAGTACTGTACTATCCTGAAAATCTATATCTCACTAACTAATCGACTTCTGATATCCTGAAAATCTATATCTCACTACACCCTGGACCTTTTTTATGAAAAAAAAAAAAAAAAAAAAAAATCTATATCTCACTAACTAACCGACTTCTTCAAAAACATACTGTAATAACAAAATCTTAACACCTAAAGATCCCGACAACTATCACTGCCTATAAATCCAATTGACTATGCATTACTATATTAATTATTAATTCTGGCATAAATTTTGAAAATAATATTATCCATCCAATCATCTATCATTTCAGATTATCTGATTCTTCTCAAAATTATTATATATCTATATATTCGCCAATATCGTTTTCCAAAATCCAGACTCTCATCCTCGATCCCTCACCTCCTCATTCACATACTCTCTCTTCCTGGATTCCTCAATTCTTTATTCACATACTCTCTATCTCTTTTCTTCGATTCATCACCTCTTCACTCACATAGAAGCTGCAAAGCATCATTTCATTCCCTATTCAATTTAATCATAAAAAAAAGATTCAATCCGCAAACATCTTCGGCAATATCCTGTAAATACCTTCTCTATTTTTCTTTTTTCATCTCTTCTTCTAATTTAATTAATGATTAATCCATCAAAGATTCAACCCTCGCAAAAATTAACGGCAATTATATTTTGCAATAAAAATCTTTACTAGCTGCGCTCAGACATTGGGTACGGCAGTACCCAGCCAATCTAACATCAAAATGCCTCTTCGCCTAATCTTTGGGTGGGTGAGGGGGGGGGGGGGGCGGGGGGGGGAGGGGGAGGAAGCACTGCGCTCTTTCCTCCCACGTCGTTATCGGGAAGAAAAAAGGCACGTGGTGTCCATGAGGTTAATACGTCTGACTCTCTTTACTCTCCCAAAACTACCTCCTCCTAATTGCTCTCCTGATTACGACAGCCAAGTGGCCACGTAGTCCCTCTTTTGCTAAAGAGCAGCAGCATTTCATCACCACCCCTCTCCTCTTTTCTCTCCTTCTACCCTTCTCCTCTCCTTCTCCTTCCCTTCTCCTCTCCTTCCCCTCTCCTTTCCCTCCTTCCCCGGCTTATCCTCTCCTTCTCCTCTCCTCCCCTACTCTACCCCAATTTTGATCTTCATCTTTCTTTCCTAAAACAATATTCGTTTCCTCTCTCTCTCTCTCTCTCTCTCTCTCTCTGTCTGTGTGTCTGTGTGTGATAACTACCACTCCCGTTCACTCCCCGCTCCCTCCCCGACCACGCCCCTCTCTCTCTCTCTCTCTCTCTCTCTCTCTCTCTCTCTCTCTCTCTCTCTCTCTCTCTCTCTCTCTCTGTGTGTCTGTGTGTGATAACTACCACTCCCGTTCACTCCCCGCTCCCTCCCCGACCACGCACCCATCCGACTCAACCACCGACCTTTTCAAAAAAAAAAAAAAAAAAAAAAGCTTTTACCGACCGCATGCCTCCAATTCTAGTGTCATCCGTGAGCGGGCTCCCTAGAATTGTCACGCGTACACGTGGCAGCACTGCTTTCCTTCTCAGGCAACTCCAGCCTTGTCCTCTCTCTCTCTCTCTCTCTCTCTCTCTCTCTCTCTCTCTCTCTCTCTCTCTCTCTCTCTCTCTCTCTCTCTCNCTCTCTCTCTCTCTCTCTCTCTCTCTCTCTCTCTCTCTCTCTCTCTCTCTCTCTCTCTCTCACATCAACCATTCACTACTGCTAATTCCTCTTTATCCACAGCTCCCTTCATCTTTCCTTCTCCTCCCTCCTCTTCCTCCTAATCCTTGTTCATCTATCCTCCTCCTCAACTTAACTGTGCACTAGATGATAGCGACCACCTCCCTCTCCCATCCTTCCATCGGCCTCCTCAGAAGGCCCCCGTATGACGATACCTGAATCGTTTTGTTTTGTTTTTTTTCCCACTCAGGGCAATTATTTGACTGCGTTGAATTCCAGTATAACTCACGCATTAGGAAAAAAAAAAAAAAAGAACAAATAACGTTGATTTAAATCATTAAAAAAAGACAGCTCCGCTGTTCCTCCTTGATTTAATCCACCACATCGATCCGCCGCTTTTTCCATGAATAGGTTTAACCCCCCCCCCACCTCCTTTGTTCCCTTCTCCTCCTCCTCTCTCCCACCCCATCCGCCGCCCAACTACGATTACCTTCCTTAAGCATAGGACGCAATCTAACAGCCTCGGAAAAAAAAAAGGGGGGAAGAAACTGCCTTAGAGTAATTCCAAGTAATTAAAAAAATATATATATATATATATCCAAGTAATCAACGACTGCCACGTGTCGGGACCAAAGCGTGGCTATCGTTACCTTGTCATCAACCAGCCAATTGCTTTGATTATTTAATTAATCAATTAAATTAAATGCGGAGTTGGATTAAAAAAATTTAAAAAATATATAAATAAAAACCATCAAAAGAACTGAACGTTAGGAACCATACAGACAAGATTAGCATGGCTTCCGCTTCCGCTTCCGCGGGGTTTCGTAACTCCGTTTTTTCCTGAAAATTTGGGTATTTACTATTTACCATACAGACAACTAAATAATATATCCACCAAAAATAAAAACACGAAGAAAGACTCAAGAAACCGGACCTCTGAGCATAAGTCTTAGGGCTCATTCACGCTATGACTTTTGCGGCTGAGCTGTGGACGTGATTGCAGTCAGATGCATGCAGGTCTGACTGTAATTGTGGTCAGATACATGTAGGACACTGCTCGTGCGATTTTGCCCTAAACTAAGCAAGTTCTAAATTAAGTCTATCCTTAAAATCGACGAATCCACAAAAAAAAAAAAAAAAAAAAAAAAAANTGAACTGTCGAAATACAGTTCTAGTGGAGTTCAAATTCCACTAGAAGCAGATGAGTAAAATCTATCAGAGTTCTCAATGACCTAGGGCCAGTCAAAACAAAAATAAGGGAGGGAAAAAACAAGGGAGGAAAAAAACGGGGGGGGGGGGGGGGGCGAGAACAAGAGGAGAAAAAGGAGAGGGAGTGAGTGGGAAGGAAACGGAGTAGAAAGGAGCAAAAAATAAGATGAAAGAATAAAAGAAGAGAGTAAAAAAAAAACGAGAGTAAAAAAAAAGAGAGTAAAAAAAAAAGAGAGTAGAAGGAGAACAAGGAGAGGGATTATAATCTCATTAAATCATTATACACCGTTAGTGGTAATTTGGCTTTTTGGCCTGTGGCCTTTTTTTTTTTTGCGCTCCTTTCCACTCCTTTGGAAGTTCTGTGTATTTTACTTCTTAGAGGAAAAGGAAGACGAGTAAGGAGCGCAAAAAAAAAAAAAAAGAAGGAAGAAGAGAAACAAAGAGAGAAAAGGAAGAAGTGGAAGAAGACATAAAAACAAAACAGAAAGCAAGAGAGAGACCAACCAAGAGGAGAAAGACGAGATATGGAGGAGCACTCCCCTCAGAGCTACATCCATATCCATTTCTCACATCTTTTCGATTAGGAAAAAAAAAACAAAAAAACAAAGAACAGAAAAAGTTAAAAGCTGTACATAGCTCTATCATTTATATATCGTCACAAACAGAACTGCCCGGTAAACCGTAGGCAGAGAGAGAGAAGAGGACAACAAACGAGGGGCTGTGACAAACTGTTTCGTCGGAGTTTCACCGACTCATATGTATATATCGTCACACCGTGTATCGGAGCGCAACGGCGAAAAAAAAAAAAAAAAAAAAAAAGGGAAAGAAGGAAAGGAAGCAAAGCTCCGCCTGTTCATCACCTCTTACGTACAAGGCCGGCCACGTGGATGATGGTTATATGTTTTCTTTACACTATCATTTATATTACACACACACAATCAAAGCTAAGAAAAAAAGGGTAGCCACGTGGATGCTTGTTTTATGTATCGTCTTTAAACATTTAAAATCTAAGAAAAAAAGGGTATGTATCATCTTTAAACATTTAAAATTTGACCTCCAAGGGAAGCATTTGACCGGTGATCAGTCAGCGACAAAACTGATCGCTTCGCTGTATTCAAAAAATCCTGCCAGCATTTGACACTTCTCGATTTCATTACAGCACGCACCCATGTAGTTTGTTTTTTATCTTCTTCCTTACAAGACTCCCCCTTTTCAGAACCTCTTGCGTACAAGGCCGCCCACGTGGATGTATATATACGCTGAAAAGAGGTCACTCATGGCCACACAAGCACTCTTCTCAGAACTACGGGTGGGTGTGTTCGAATCCACAAAAAAAAAAAAAAAAAAAAAAAAACACGGTCACTGCAGATTATTTCCAAACATTTCTAAACTAGGGAAATTCATGCCTAAAATGAATTGATCCTACTAAACCTAGAATCTAAGTAACAGCATCTCCGTTATTATTTCTAAACTAGGAAATTAACGCCGTAAACCACCAGCAGATCTATTCCCAAAAAAGCTGAAAAAAACAAT